CGGCCCCACACTATGCTGCAGAGACCCAGCGTCTGTGTACAGTGTGCCGAGGCCGTGAGCAGTACCTCAGTCACCCAGCGTCGACCGCAGAGACCGCGTGTCGCGCCTGATGCTCCCAGGTGTCCTGCCAGTGACTCAAGGAGATCCCAGGTGTAGCGCCGGCACGCCAGCGCCGGCAAACCCAGCAGCGCCCAGTGCCAGCAGCGGGCAGCGAGCCTGTGCGAGCCACCAGCAGCCAGCGGGGTCAAATCCAATCTAGCGCCAGCCCGCATGGACCAACGAGCCCAAACTCGTGCCATCGAGTCATTTTCGAGCCGTTTGACCCGTTTTTCGTACTAGACCTTATTTTTAGCCTCGTGAACCATTTTCAAAGCATTTTTCACCTTTAATCGAAAGTTCTGATTTTCAATAAATTCTTAAAATGTCCTTAATCAACTAAACTTTGATTAAGTTGAAAATTCAATATTTTCCAAGAAAATGAGATAATTTATTTATAAGAATTATCTTGTTTTAAATGTAGATTTCAGAGGAGTCTAGCCCTGAACCTATTGTGAAGAATCTGCATTTTTCTTCATTTTTCGAACTAAGATGGGTGTAATTTACTATACCATTATTCGTTATAATCGCATCATTCTATAGTTAAGGTATGTATGTGAGCCATTTGCCTAATGAAAGGCAATATGTAATGAAAGGCGTAAATGTCTATTTGCCTGAGGAAAGGCAGTACCTAATGAAAGGTATTCAGTTGTGCTTCTATCGTTGATTGCGGGGAGACCTACGACGGTATAACGTGTGTACACATGAGACAAAGGATTGGATGGAGATAAATGTGACGGTTATTATTCATGTTCATGCTGAGATTATATTATCTGTTTTATAGTGAATAATTGCATAGTAATTCCCACGGTGAGCTAGTTGTTTGCTCACTTCCACTATTTCGTATCTTTTCAGGTTGAGTAGCTGGCTGCGGACACGAGGAGACGAGTGCGGTCTTAATTATGTTAATTGTTTTGATTGCTTCTGCAGACTTTTTCAAATTTATGATGTTTCGACTTAGGGATGTTGAAATCTTGAATATGACCATGTGTTGCCGAGAATTATTATGGTTGAAGCTTTAATTATGTATCGAGATTGTTGAAAAATGAGATGGGAATTTGGGAAAATGAATTCCCCAAGAGCTTAAGGTGTGACTTGAGCTAAGAAGAGAAAAGAAAGAAAGTTTTAGTAATGCCCAAAAGAAAGTTCTAAAAAAAAGGTGTTCGAAAATTTAAATAATTTATGAAAACTTAGTGTTTTCTAAAGAAAAATAAGCGGGCGTTACAGATGAGAGGAGGGAGAAGTTAGTGAAGGATTATAAATAAAATAAGAAGTCGAAGAAGAATGTGTGAAGAACAATTTGATGAACAATAACAATTTAATTCATAAATTACATGATAAATGTTAAGGTTGTGATGATATAGTTTTGTATTTAAGGGACTGTTATGCAAATAAGATTAATATATGGTCTGAAAAATAAATACAATTATCATTTTGTAATATATTAATTTAAAGTTTGATTTGTAGTGAAGTAAGGGTATAATAGGATTTTAGTAAGTACGAGGTTGTACGAGGCAAGTACGAAGCAACCATCTTATTGTTGTATGAAAATTAACAACGATAATAAACAGTAAGATGTAATTAAAGTGAAAGCAATGAAAATTATTGTATTATTTATGTCTTTTTTAATGTACAGGAGGTCGTTTTGTATATAACCGAGCTATTTTGTTCGTTCGTGTACCATGTACGTAAAAAGATACCCGTACAATCATAAATTCTGCTATTTATAGTACGGTGCATTTGACTTTTCGTACGAGATAGATCGGATCGCATTTAATGTTGAGCAACTTCATTAAAGCGGTCTGTAGTGTAATGAGGGGACAACAATGATTACTGTTTTGATAGGTGGCCCAATCAGAAACGATCCTTGTCACCAGCTTTGGAATTCAGTCACCTCAGACCTCGATTTAAGTTGATAACCTTCAGGGAAGAATATTCGCGAAGTCGGTTCTTTGTCTTTTACGCGAAGTCGGTTTACCAGCTTGAGTATGTCGGTTGTCATTTATATGTGTGAGGTCGGTAATTGTCTCTTTGCACCAAGGTGGGCTATGTTTGTTGTAGGAATTGAGCCGGAGAGAGTATTTTGAGAACATAATCAATAAATTTTCTTTTAATCTTGATAGATCAAGTCGGTTGTCAACAGAGAGGTCCCCGACATTAGTAGGTATTTGAGTAGAAATGGCTGCTGATGTCGCCAATATTTTTGCCAAGTCCGGCTTGATTTTGCTTTTATTCCTACGTGGCTGTGTTAACCGGCGTCTTCTATTGGTACCGACATGAGAACACTTGGACAACTATAAACCCATATATATAGAGGAATAAAACAATACAACGGCTTTGCTGACGTGGCAGTTTATTAAAAGACGTGTTTGCATTTAATGGGTGCAACAGATAGAAATACGTGGGTTTCATGGCAGTTTGAGATTGGTCCACTTGTATCAATAGAAATTGAATCGTTGCGTCTCTTGAAGACACGTCCCTTACACGCGCCAATTCCCAATTGCCCAACGTTACAGTTCACCGAGTATAAATTCTGACCTGTTTCGATTTTGAAGAATTTTACGTTCATAACTGATAAACTCGCCATCTTCTGTTCTCTTTTGCCTTTAAACCATTCGAATTTTCTTTTGTTAACCACATCTTCGATCAATTTGAAGGATCTTTTGAAGCATTCGGTAAGATTTTGTCCTAATTTTCAATTTTTTGTTTCTGTTGATTGAAATTCTCTTTTCCTTTCACTTCGGAAAAATGGTTTCGCAAGATGAATCTAGCAGTAGCCGTACAATTTTCGAGGCTAAAATTTTTGATGATGAGGATTTGGAACTGCCTCTTGAATTATAACGATGGGACTCCTTGCTTGTCGAAACTCTTAATTTGAATAGAGATAATATTGAGGGTGATCGAATTGTGGAGAGAGATTCTCCATCATTTGCTGAGTATTGGAGACGTCCGGCACGTCGGTGGCCTGAAACTATTGATGAGAATCGAGGTGAGCCAAGCATTTTAACTGATGTCGACGTTGTGCTTCTCCGTGAAGAAGTTCGGATTCCTTCAACTGTAAGGTTGTTTGCTCCTTATCCGGGGAAGAGAATCATGTGTCCTCCACCCGGATGTGTTGGTGTTTTTGCTGAAAGCCTGAGGTCGGGATTAAGATTTCTTTTACCCGCTCTGATTACCGATTATCTGCGCGACTGGGGACTTGGCTTATGTCATATTGCGCCAAATAGTTGGAAGAGAATTGTCGGACTTATGGTTCTTTTGAAGGAGAAGAATTGGGCCATGCCGGCTGTTGAAGAGATGAGAAGTCTCTTCACTTTTAAAAGATGTGCCGATAGGCAAGTGGCGGATCCATTAATTTGCTTTTTCTCCTCTGGGAAGCCTCAGGAAGGAATGAAAGTTGATGACTTAATCACTGAGATTCCGGATACTCTTCACGGTTTTCAAGAAGATTGGTTATGGGTTGGGGGAGATTGGCAAACTTCAAATTTTTCTAAACCTTTGATTAATGGGATGTCTATCCCACTTGAAGTTAATTCCGCATATTGTAAGTCTTTAAATCTTTTGCACCGAGTTGATCTGATTCATTTTTTATTTTTTGTACTAACAGGTCGGCACTTTTACTGTTTGTAGCCCGAAAAAAAAAGAAGGAACCCGAGCTCAGTAAGGAATTAAGAGGTCGGATTGTGGAGTTATTCAAGTTGAAGAAGAACGAGCGCAATTACAAACTCGTATTGAAAGACCCGAGATTAGAAGTTGCTGGTCTCTCTCATTTTGTCACTGATTCTTATTTTGCTCCAGGTATATTTGAACCAGAACTTTTAACTTCTTTTACGAAGTCGGTTAATCATAAACATCGTTATTGACTTGGGATTATTTTGTTCGGATGCAGTATATTATCCTCTTCTTAAAGTTTTTGGATTCAAGTCTTTAAGAGACGCAAAAGCTTTTCGTAGCAAGTTTCCAAATTTCAATCTTCGTACCAAAGTTGGGAAAAGCAAAGAAAAGCGTCTATCCAAAATGGGTCGCAAGAGATTGGTCAAATCTTTGTTGAAGAATGAAATCATGAAA